GCCATCGATATCCCTCGACGCATGCACCCGGCTGCGAGCCCGGATAGCCCAAGACGGACAAAGAGTCCTTCGCGCCTCCCCCCGTCCGTTCCTCCCCACTCCCACGTCTTCGTGTGCGCCTTCTCCTTGGCTGAAGGGAAGGAGGAAGGAGGAGGGGCGGCGGGCGGAAAGGCTTCGCACTGACCAGGGAAGGGGGCATGGTCCCCCCTGCCCCGGGCCAGAGAGGACGCGCGCCCGGGTGGGGGAGAAAGACAGAGAGGAAGCCAGGCCGGTGCGACGTGTGGTCCAGGAGGAGGCATGCGTGAAGGTGGAGGAGAGCAGCATGGGGAGGAGGAGGAGGAGGGAGGGAGGGAGATGAGGGAGGCGCCGGAGAGGCGCGGAGACAAAAAGGCGATTGTAAACTGCTGAATAGGTCTGTTGCGGCCCTGCCACCATCACAGAGTTGTATGCAGATATTTCACTTGCTGACGGGCGTGTCGGTGGAATATCCAGGCTTGCTTCCGCCCGGCGCACGTGACGAGGATGCTTGAGGGGTGGCCGTCCTACCTTCCCGTTGCTTGCGCGAGATCAACCCAGATGATACAGGGTCGTTTCCAGCACAAAAAGACCTGTCAAGGCAATGTTCCGCTATTTTCACTTCTTGCTGAGCCTGTGGCCGCTTACTGTCCTTCGTAAAACTATCACGGATGCCCTCAACCCTCCTCACCCAGACCTTTAAAAACCGAGGACGCTTCGAAGGCCAATCCTAAAAACGAGCGGGATCGTCACGAAGTGTACAGATAAATGCCGGTACACGAAAGGCGTGCGGACAAGGGAATCTACACGACGCTAGGGAGCAGGCGGGTGGTTAGAGAGGGGCGGCAGACATAGGGCAGGCCGGAGAGATCGAGCCAGGGAGATGGCAATGAAAAGTCCGTGCAAGAGCGAATGGAGGCAGACTCTTCCCGTGTCACGCACCTGTATGAATGTAGCGCATTTATCACGCCCCTCGTCTTCCTGTCGTCGACCGGTTTAGCTGCTGGTAGTAGTGCCTATACCTTTCGAGAAGCAACAATTGGCCTCCTCCTTGCTAGCGGCTCGGATTGAGAATGAGTCGATCTTCGACGTGTATTGCGAAAATGTCCCGACAGTAAACGTCAGAGATCTGTTCGTGTGCAAGAGACTTTCATATGTGGTGAGCGTGCACACGTAAATTTGAGTGAGCCATCCATGCTGTTGCGTAGGCAACAAGGCCACGGAGGAGGCTAGACATCAACCAACGCGGATTTTGCAAGCATATGAAAAAATAACGCCCACCGGTCTCATTCGACGCTTCCTTGGGCAACGGAAGACAGAAAGGCGCGTTGAAGAACAAATTGAAAGTATGAATGCCACAAAGAAAATGAAAGAGTTCCCAAAAATTAAGCCCAACACATCTTTGTCGTGACGAGCAGTATTCTCAGCCGGAAACGGTTCCTCCCCCCCTCCAGGGGGTGTGACACCTTGGAGGCGACTCCATTACCTTTTCCACCCCCTCGGATAAAGACCTCGGTCAAAGTTAGATCACAATCACTTATCGGACCATTTTGGGAGCCGCGCTTCCCGCTTAGTTGGTAATGTTTCGGTGCCTCGTACTAAGGGCTCCGACGGGCCTCAACGGCTCTGGTGGGCGACGACTCGGAGGGACCGGGGGAGAGAGGGGGGAGGAGGTAAAAGTCACGCTAGGGAAGATGCAGCAATGGACATGATTTCTTTCGATTGTAGGCATGCATCAATCCTCAAGTAACATTTAGAATAATGGTCAGGAATTCGCAGGAGCAGTGTGATGGCTTTGAATGAGCGGAGGGATGGAGGGAGGAAGGGGGGAGGAGGTATAAGTCGCCCTCCCCCATAGCAATTATTATCCATAAATTCAGCCATCCTCGTGGGTATAAACTTGCTAGCTTCCCTTTCCTCCATTTTCATTATCCTTTTTAGCGCTCAACAGAATTTCATTGTGAAAAGGGGACGCTGGATATTTAAACGGCCATATCGGAATGGGTAAAAATCAAAGGGCACGACGGCATCAACAAGCTCCTCAGAAACGGTGCAAGCAAAACAATGACGGTGCCATTGAGGATAATGAATCACAAGAAATCGGGCAAAATGTGGATGGAAAGGCAAAAGCTGTGCTTCTTTCCCCAGAGTTAGCGGCAGCGTTGGGACAGGACGAGGAAGGGGGAGGGGACGCCATAATATCTGCCAAAAATGCTGGCCAAGGAGGCATTAGGAGAAAACGGGATTCGAGGGGCAACCTGATCGAGCCAGAGGTAAGATGGTCTGAAAATCTATTGATTAGAGGTCATGAGTCTTGGCTCCTGAGAATTTTCGGTTTGTACCGCTTCTGCTCTTTGTCAGGACGTCCGAGAGTGCTGTGATTATCGGGAGATGCGTGGTTGCAGGTGGCTTTCACCAAGCGCGAAACACAAATGCTTGCGTTGTCATCGATGAAACTTTACCACCTTGTTCACTATAGCCCTTTTGTGTATTGCTTCCAAAACCTGCTGGTGTGGCTCCCTGGTTCCATTTCGCATCTGCCGGCATACCCTATCTCCGCTTGACACGCACACTTCCTCACCAGGCCTTGCAAGACGCCCGAAAGATGAGCAAGAGCATGAAAAAGAGGATGGCGCAGATCTCGCTGCGAAAGGAGAAGGAGGCGAGGCGGGCCAATTTGTATCAGACCCTGGCCCGTCAGGCCCTTGATCCTAGCTTGCAGACTCTCTTTCTCTCTTCCAAAGGCTTCTCCCACGGGAAGGAATCTTTGAAGATTCGCCTGGGCAGGGCCTTGGAAAGACAACGGGCGGGTTTGCCTGTCGAGGACGAGGAGGCGGCCATGCTTTTGTACCGGGAACGAGCCACGCAGGAGGAGGGGGAGGGCAGTGAGGAGGAGGGAGAGGCATCCCATCCTCCGCCGCACCAACCTTTCCCTGTTGCTTCTCAACCTCCTTCATCATTCTCGTCCCCCCCATCGGTTAGTTTTCAGACGAGTGGGACGAAAGGCGCCGCCATAGCGCGGTCGAAAGGGGAGCAGGAGAAAAGGAAAGAGGCCCGGCGCGCGTGCAAAGCGCGGCGGCGAAAGAGGAAGGAGGAAGAAGGGGCCGCGAGAGCACCAGGTCTCCCTGG